GACCTACAAGTCGTGGAATCAAGGGACGAAACGCTACTACTAGGAACAGATTGGTTCCAGAAATCTAAGGCCAGAATGCACTTCGATGAAAATAAGCTATATTTACGATACGCAGGGGAAGCTATAGAAGTGCCAATTTCCTACCATGGTACGGAGTTTCTCATGGAACCGAGAGCGATCAGGAAAGCGTAGAGACCGACTTATTTGACGAATTCGAATACAAGGAAGAAAAAGTAGACGAAAGAGATAGTTACTATACTGGCGACGTGCTTTTGGATGAAGAACTATATGAGAACCCTTGGGAAGAAATGGAAAGTCTGGCAATATATCTCATTAACATGAAGGAGATCCCTACGCTAGAAGAGAAAAAAGAACCTGAATTGATCACGAAGGAACGAATCGAAAGTCTAATAGAGAAAAATACCGAGCTCGGAGAAGAGAACAAGGGCGACATACGGGAGCTATTCAAGAACAAAGAAGACCTTTTTATTGAAGGCCTCGAAGAGTTAGGACGAACAAGTATCGTTTAGCATACAATTGATACCAGAGACGCCAAACCGATCAAACAGAACGCGTATAGGATGTCTCCAGATAAGAACGAATATGTGAAAAACAAATTGAAGCAAATGGAAGAACAGGACCTGATCCAAGCATCCGTTAGCCTGTGGACTTCTCCTATCATCATAGTTCCAAAGAAAAATGGAAAAAGATGCCTATGCGTCGATTATCGAAAACTAAATATGATGACAAAACGAGATGCTTACCCTCTTCCAAGAATTGACGACCTGTTGGAAACTTTTGGAAATGCCAAAATATTTTCTAACTTGGACTTAGCCAGTGGTTATTGGCAAGTGGCCATGAGACAAGAAAACCAAGAAAAAATAGTATTCGTCACTAAATTCGGAATGTACGAATTTAGAATAATGCCATTCGGATTGTCAATGCTTCGGCAACATTCCAACGATTGATGAATACGATCCTACATGAACACATTGGGAATTTCGTAGCAGTATATCTTGATGACATCATCATTTACTCACAGAATGTGAATGAATATGTTGAACACCTGAAACAAATATTTGAGAAGTTGCGAAGTGCCAATCTAAGACTCAATCTAGAAAAATGCTGTTTCTTCTTAACGATTACCTTTCTAGGGCACGTAGTAGGAAAGGAAGGAATTAGGCCTGACGAAGCAAAAATTTTGAAAGTACTAGATTTCCCAACTCCTAAAAATCTACGGCAACTCAGAAGATTTATCGGACTAGCCTCATATTACTAATGCTTCATACAAAAGTTCATCACTATTGCATGACTGCTACATCAGTTATTACAAAAAAATGAACCATATGAATGGAAGAAAGAACAACAACACGCATTTGACACTCTCAAGGCCCACTTAATCAAAGCACTGATATTGCGCTATCCCGATTTTAATAAAACATTCTATGTACATACTGACGCATCTGGGATTGGATTAGGAGTGGTCTTAGTCCAAACAGACGACAATCGCAAGGAATATGTGATTGCCTATGCCAGTAGAGGACTAAATAAAGCAGAGAGAAATTACACCACTATGGAACTAGAATGCTTAGCAGTAGTCTGGGCTGTAGAATACTTCCATCACTATTTAGGCTATAAGCCGTTCATACTCGTCACCGACCATTCCGCATTAAAATGGTTAGCAGGAACGAAACTCAAGGAATGACACGCAAGGTGGATACTGCGGTTGCAGCCCTACAACTATACTATTATACATCGTGCCAGGAGAAAACACTCGAATGCTGACGCATTATCTAGGATACCCGACCCCGAACGAAGCAATAAGGACCAACTCATGAGAATTTAACTCTCACGACATATATGTAACCCGGCAAATAACACTACACTAGACGACTATACTAAGACAAAAAAAAAAAAATCCGACGTAAAGCTTAAATCCAGACCAGGTAGTCGGTGTCCTGGCATATTTTATTGAAAAAAAAATGGATCCGATACATTATCATCATCTTAACAATTTTCTGCAACACCAACAATTGCCAAAAACACTCACACCCCGTCAACAACATGACTTACAATTAAAGAGCCACTTCTTCGTCAGTAAAAATAGAATGTTATATAAAAAGGATAGACGAACGAGGGGACGACTCCTACGAGTGCTACAAAAGCATGAACTCGAACTAGTGTTATACCTGATACACACTCACCCATTAGGGAGACACCTGGGAAAAGACAAAATGGTTAACAAGATTAAGGACCTATACTATTGGTCCCAGATGTATGAGGATATTCGAGTTTACGTACAGACCTGTGACCCATGCCAATGTCGAGGAAGAAAGCGAATCACCAGATCTTATTACCCAATATCAATTTAGTGACATTTCCATCAGGTTGGAATAGACATAGTAGGACCCTTACCTGTGACCCCATGAAGGAATTGATATATCATTGTAGCAACTAACTATATGACCAAGTGGCCAGAAGCCCGAGCCATGAAAGCCGCTACCACACAAAACGTCACTGATTTCATCTACGAGGAAATAGTTTACTGACACGGATGCCCTAAGATATTATTATCAGACCGTAGTACTAATTTCCGGGAACATATGATAAAACTATTCCTGGAAAAATTCGACATAAAACATCTCTTCTCGACGCCCTACCATCCACAAACCAACAGTTTGATCAAAAGATATAATCGGACCCTATGTGAGATGATCACAAAATTAGTAACCAAAGCAACTGACTAGGACACAATGATACCTTCCACCCTGTTTGCTTATCAGACCGCGAGGCAAGCAACTACTAAGCTAACTCCTTTTTATCTCATATATGGACATAAAGCCCGATTATCTATTCAAGAGAAAGTACACTTGAAGGAAACTATACTACACCGATTGTTCTACCTAATTCACATTATGTCATCTGAAAGGGCCGCCACTGTCCAATGTGTCTGCCAATTACAACAACAAACAAAACAACAACGAGATCTATGACAAGACCTACGATACGATTTGTTTATAGGTGATAAAGTGTTAATATATCACGTCGCACTTGAATATTCAAAAAGCCACAAGCTAGAACCATAATGGAACGGCCTCTACCTGATACATGATATACAATCCCAAGGAACCTACCAAATTCGGACAATGGATGGCTGAGTCATGAAGACACCGCTGAATCGAAATCTATTAAAAAAATACTATAAGTGACTCACGCCACAATAAGGAAATCGAGAGGATAGCAAGAGATAATTATAAGAAGATAAAGAAAGAAGAACGAAACCTATAATGGCTTCCGATATTACTTGTATCATCCATGACCTCTTAGAAACCCAACTCGAGATGGTGCAAGTCGTAACTCCACCATTAGGAGACCAAATGAATGTACAAGAATGAATGCATAGCATGTATCGACACTTACATTGGCTACAACGTACACAACAACATATCCAGTCTTTGATATATGCCTACTATTTCGGAATGCTGCTTACTCAACCAGAAAGAGTTTCCTTTGTTTCGAAACACTACTACGTTGCGTCAACTCGCATATATGCCCTATTTAGCAGATATGGCATTGCACAAATTTATCGTACTACTTACCATAATCTTAACGTGATCCGACAACTAAAAAAGAAAGAGTTTCGTAGGTTAGTGATTGGCTAGCTCGTAGAACTCGCAGCTAAGCCAGGGAGACTGTAAGAGGAACCGAAAAATTAGATAGATTTAACATATGTCATCCTCGCCCAATTGGGGTTTAATTGGGGCTTGAGGGATTTTGAGAATTTTGGAAATTTCTTAACATGTATATAAAGAGAGAAATGTACTAGAGAAAAAGCAACAATAAAATATCGTCCTTTTACTATAAAACTCAAACTATTATCTAACACTTTCACTTATCTCGTGCCACATCTCCACGCCTCTTTCGACGTTACACAATCGGCGATTGCAACATAGCGACAGACTTGCCGTTATAATCCCCAACACTACATATAATATTTCATATTAAAAAAGTCATGAACAAGATATTGTTTATAATTAATAAAGAAAAACTTTATTAAATATAAGAAAAATTAGATAATTTTGTTATTTTGTTATTTTCCAAAGAAAAAAGACATTTCTTATATATATGTTGTTTCAATATAAATAAATAAAGTAGA